AGAGGGGGAGGGGGGAGGGGGGGTTGAGCTTACTTTCTTTTGAAGGCAGTGGATTTTTCTCTTTCGTTTCTGTCTTCTTCAGTTTCGACTTATCGAATTTCTCAATCTCAGCCATATCGGGTTTATCAGACATGGTTGCAGAGGAAGCTGCAGATACAAAGCGAGGAGGGAGGGTGAGCGCGGAGCTGCTCGGTCTCCCGCTCGGTCTCCCCTCTCCAAGCTCGCAAGTGCGCTTTGACCCTCGCATCTCACGCCTGAAACCCCACCTCCGCCTCCTCCCGCGTCCATTCGCAGCCAGAGACCTTTCTCTCTACAGAAAAGAGCCCCCCCACCCCGTTTCAATCTCTCGAGACGCGGGGCGCCGGGCTGGGAAGACCGCTGGGGCGCTGCGGGTTTCACTGCAGCGCTTCCCCATCACCATCTGGCTCGGGGCGCGTTTATGGCGGGGAGAAAAGCGAGCGAAAACGCCTTCAAATGAAGCCAGGGCTGCACACACCGTTTCCATTCCCTCTAAGCGTTCCCTCGCCCTGCAAACGCGCCGCTTTCTTTTGTCTCTTAGGCGCCGACCACCGCCCTGCCCGCTTCCTCGCTGGCGCGCAACAATGCGGGCGCCGCACATAGCTGCCCGCACCCATAAATCAGCCCCATCTGTAACCCGGGGCGGGGCGGCAGCCTCGGGCACGATCTGTTCCCGATCTGTCTCTGCCTAAGAGGCAACGCAGAAAGCCTTCCCGGGGAGGAAGAAGGGAAAGCCTGCTTCCTGGTACCTGCCTAACAAAACGCCAGGTTAATCTTTCTTTTTTTAAAAAAAATCGCCCCGTTACCCGGCATCTGGAAGGATTTGACATTGCCCAGCTCCCCGAGGCAGCCCTTCCCCGGGAGGGCCGTTGGGGCTGGGCTTTCGGGGTGCCGCAGCAGGGATGCGGGGAGGGAAGGGGACCCACCCAAGCGCGGGAGAGAGGGGCCCCAGGGCTCACCCGAGCGAGGTGCGCGAACGAGAGAAGTCGATCTGCTCAGGGACAGCAGCCGAGTGCCGGGCGGGGGCGGCGGGCTCCCTTTTATGCGCGCTCCTATGCAAATGAGGTGATGTCACCGCGCGTCGGCTTAACTCCTTCGCGCCCGGGGTCCAAGTCTGCGTCCGGGGGCCCTACGTGGCGTTTGGGGGGGCCCCACCCGCGTCCACCAATGCACCCTAACCGCAATGAGGGTGGAAAAATAAGGCGAGAACCCCCCACCACAACCCCCAGCCGCCAACACGCCCTTCCTAACGCGCTTTCCCCCTTTTATGTCTATTTTGCCATCATGGATTTTTGCAACAGCCCGCAAGCCTGCTCTTGGGGACCAGAGCAGGATACCTAAGAGTCTGAGTGGTACCTAGGGGGGCAGGCATTTCTTCTCTGCGAATCTGGCTTTGTCCGATGGAGCCATCGCCGAGCGAGGGTGCGCTGTGACCTCGCAGGGGGGCCTCGCCCACTGCGGGGTGCGATTCGTGTGACTCAGCTCTCAGGCCAGCGGAGGGCATCGGGCCCCACCCGGCCCTCTTTGTCTCATCGACGTCGGTCTCCGTGACTCGGGAGGGAGGTAAAGCACCGTAAAGTGATTTTAAAAAATTTCTCCACGGCGACATGCATATTTCTCCCATCGCTGTCATTTTTTGCGTGCACCCAAACCAAGTAACAGCAATATTTGCTGCTTTGAGTTCCATGTATCTGGAGTTTATAGAGTTGACCGCCTCTCCCTTAGAAAAATAAGTCAAGTTCAAGCTGTGCTATGGACTTGCAGCTTGACAGCAAGGAGGGTCTTTTACTTTCCTGCCCCTCATTTTCCCAAATTATACAAGCGATCGCTAAAGGGGGCCTGCGTCAAATGCCAAACATGAGCAATCGCATTTCTTTCTCAAGCCTGAAAAACTGAACTCTGTATTTTGAAGGGAGGCTTTTGCAGCACAAGACATTTTCGAGGTGCGCCTGGGAGTTCGACCCGGAAATGTAGGCAGCCAGGAGCAGTTTTCAAAATGGCACCTGATTCTGCAGGACTGACCCCCTGGCTGCTGAAACGAGTGACAGGTACCACGCCCTGCGCCTGCAAAGAGCTAGGCCAGAAAAAAGGCCTGCGGGTTGGAAAAGGCCTCCTTGAGGCTGCCTGGAAATGCAGAAAAGTGCCCCGAATACTTTTCTGTGCCCCGAGGGAGCATTTCCCCCAAATCCTTGCTAATCATGTTTATGACCGAGGCTTGGTCTGCAAGGGGACGAGGGTCCACTGTTGTATGGACCCTTAAAGCCAGGCAGGGTGGCGGGGACTTCCCCATTTCTTTGTCCCCTGGACTTCCTTCTTTTGGGGGGACATGGGAGGGGCAGACTGACTGTCTGGCTCCCCAGTTCACGCTTCGGTGGGCGGCTGCTCTCGGAAGGGGGGCGCCGAGCCCTTCCGTGCAGACACAGGATGTCACGTCTCTGGCTCCAGGACCCCTGACTCTGCCCCGCTGCCGGCCACTTCGCTGCGAAAACTCAGTCAAGGTCATGCAGGGTGCGTTTCTGGCCAGTTTCCCTGGCAGCTGCCCCAGGGTAGGCCCACACCATTTCTGTAGGTTCTGGGACTCTCTCCCCCTCGCCCCAAGGCCATCAAGAGTCACTGCTTTCCTCCCCAGCTCGCCCTTGACAAAGATACCGCCACCAGCTCGTTGCTGCTCCTCCAGGCCTTGCCCAAGCGCTGCCTCTAAGGGAGATGGAGGAGTAGACGTTGCTAAAGGCCCGGGGGCTTCTCTAGTTTGGTAGCAAGCAGCCGGTCATGGTCATGGTCATGGTCACGGTGTTTGGATACTGAGAGGAAGGGCCAGGGAGGGAGGCCTACTGCGTGGACCCAGAGACAATGAAAAGGAGCCGGTGAGCAGCTGAAAGGAAATACAAACTCAGGGAATATTCTTAAGCGTTGCGTGACCCCGGCCACGTTCATTGATTTTTCTGTGCCTGACGGGCCTCATTTGTCAAAGGGGTTCATTTCACTACCCGCCTCACAGGGTTGTGTGGAGGCCTAAATGCTTAGGCCTGGGCCTGACAGTCCACACATCGTCTTCTTCTCCTTAGGATCAAAGGTTAAAAAAAAATGACCAAAAAAAAAGATTTTTATGTTGGGCATGAAGTAAACATGTAAGATGTTTTTATTTTTTTAAAAGATGTTTTCATATTAGCTATTCCTCACAGACTACTAGTACCAAGGAGCTCTTTGTCTAGTTTTCCAGCAAATAAAAAACAGCTCCCTTCGCTTTAAGAGGCAGACATTGTAGGAGGTGCTCTACATTTGGTTGGGCCTTTCAGGCCTGCGCCTCTCCCGCAGACGGGGAAACTGAGGCTTAGCGGTCCATTGTCTGCTAACCTGGCCGGTGGCTACCCTCTCTTCCTTATGCTAAGAGTACATACAGGTCTTCACCCCGCGCCCCCGAGGGCGGCCGTGCCCGGGAAACAGAAGTTGCTCCGTGAACAGTTATTTATTATACTGAACTGACTTGCTTAAGCGAGGAAGGTCCTGGCACTCCGTTCCCCCAGCTCTGAACCTGTGGCCCCAGCCACCGTGCTTTCCTGCCCACATCAGGATCCTCTCAGTACCGACGTTTCAGCAGAGACAAGTCCTGCTTCCAGAAGCTACCATTTATAAGTGGGGACTGTGCTGGGCACACCCACGGTGGAGGTGCGGGCCTCCCATCCCAATGGAAAGCACAAAGGCCCACAGGTGCAAAAGAACTTTGGGGTGCCGGGGTGCGCCGGGGGAGGGGGGTGGTGGAGAGATGAGGGAAAAGCCCACCCCGTACCAGCCCTGTCTGCCTCATCTCCGGGCAGCATGGGCGGGTGCTCTCCCCCCTCCCCCCTACGCCATTTCCAGGGTGGGCCTGGGACTGCTCTGTAGCCATTTCCAGTGTTAGTCTGAGTTCATGAACATCAGTCCTGTTATTTTTAACCTGTTACGCGCTGCGCAGAACGCTGGCCAGAGGAGAGAAGGAAGAGGAGGAGGCACAGAGAAGGGGTGACAATAGCCGGGCCCCTAACTCTTCTTTCTCAAGCCCAGGTGCCTTTTCTTAAAAAAAGATATTTTGATTGATTTCGGAGAGGAAGGGAGAGGGAGAGAGAGAAACATCAGTGATGAGAGAGAATTACTGATCGGCTGCCTCCTGCATGCCCCTTACTGGAGATCCAGCCAGCAATATGGGCATGTGCCCTTGACCGGAATAAACCTGGGACCCTTCAGTCTGCAGGCTGACGCTCTATCCACTGAGCCAAACCGGCTAGGGCCCTTTGTTTGCATTTCAAGGCCTCCTGCCATCTGCCTCAACCTGCCTGCAACCCACCTTCCCCCGTGGCCCCACAATCCCCATGTGTTCATCTAAATTCCATTGAAGACATAGCCTGAATGCCCCCTTAACCACAGGGAGAGGAAAGGACAGGGAGGGTGGCCGCTCTGTACACAACATCTAATTCAATTCTCAGCCTTTCCAGTGGGAACTGAATCCCCATTTTACTGCTGGAGAAACTGCTCGGAGAATTTAAGCAACTTGCTGGAGATCAAGCCCCCAGATCTGTCTCCTAAGCAGGCCTGCATCCTTCCATCGCAGCCCATCCCTGCCTCACATTCAGCTGAAATGTCTTGTCCAGGATCCCCATGGTGGGCTCAGAGCGCTGGAAAATACGGCTCCCTCAGTGAGTGGGCTAAAGATGAGTGGAGGATGGCCCTAGCCAGTGTGGTTCAGTGGATAGAGCGTCGGCCTGTGGACTGAAGGGTCCCAGGTTGGATTCCAGTCAAGGGGACATGCCCACATTGCTGGCTGGATCTCCAGTAAGGGGCATGCAGGAAGTAGCCGATCAATGATTCTCTCTCATCATTGAGGTTTCTTTCTCTCCTCTCTCTTCCTCTCTGAAATCAATAAAAAAATATACTTTAAAAATAAAATAAAAACGAGTGGAGGATGATAGGAGTCAAAGAGCACTCGCGAGAATGTCGAATGTTGTGCTGCTAAATTTCCTGCCCGCTTTGTTGATCTGACGGAATCTCAGAGCGAAAGGAACTTGCATTCAACTCAGTTCCTTTCTGGGGGATTGCGTTTCCCTTTCCAACATCCCCTCCAAGTGGTTGCTCAGCCTACGCACAGCAAAGGCAGCAAGAAGAAGGCAGAGCCCTGGAGTGCATGCAGGGGGCGGTGAGCAGCTTAGTTTGCCCGGGGCTTGCATAGAACAGAAAGTAGCATTGAGAGGTAGGCAGGGGCCAGGTCGTAGGCTAATAACAGTAACATTGATCATGACTCTAATACTGGCATTCATAGTAGTAAACATTTTTAAAAATATTGATTTCAGAGAGGACGGGAGAGGAAGAGAGAGATAGAAACATCCATGATGAGAATCACTGATCAACTGCCTCCTGCACGCCCCCTACTGGGGACCAAGCCCACAACCCCAGGCATGTGCTCTGACCAGGAATCAAATCCAGGACCCTTCAGTCGGCAGGCTGACGCTCTATCCACTGAGCTAAACTGGCCAGGGCGGTGGTAGTAAACATTTCTATATGCCTGGGAGCTTCCTTAAACCCTGACAAATCCTACGAGAGAGGCCCTGTGACTTCCCTCCATTGCAAACGTGGGAATTCTGGCACCTTGAAGTAATTTAGCCAAAACCACACAGGGAAAGCCAGAGGCGGGGTTTGAACTCAGACTGGCCGGCTCACGAGCTGCCTCGTTTAGACATTTTCTGGAATCCTAAGCTAAGGCCTTTAGACTTCATTCTATAAATCATCCAATTTTTCCAGCAAGAGAACTTTTAAACATAGCTATTGGAGTCATAGATCACATCAGTTAAAAATCTGCCTGCTCCAATTTTCAAGTTATGTCATTATAGAAATTCATTCTACTCTTTTGCCTCCTCATACGTAGCCCAGTGCACTCCCAATACAGGGAATTCTTTATCTAGAACATTGGCAATTTCACACAGCTTTACGCTAATTTAATATTTTTTCCAGTGGTCATTCATATTACAATGGTTTAAAAAAATTAGTAGGTCAAAAACAGATTGAAAGGAGAGGTAGTGCAAAC